ATTTTGTTAGTTTTCTGAATTTGTACAACATCATAACATCAAGAAAATTACAAAAAAATTCAACTAAAATAAATTTCTAAATTTGAATGCAGTTTTTTAGAGAATTGCGTCAGAAACATTTAAAGGTATGCCACTTCAAAATCCGATTAAGATTAGTTGAGTTATGGAGTTTTGAACTTCAGCCTTGGGACATTTTGTTAGTTTTCTGAATTTGTACAACATCATAACATCAAGAAAATTACAAAAAAATTCAACAAAAATAAATTTCTAAATTTTAATGCAGCTTTTTAGAGAATTGCGTCAGAAACATTTAAAGGTATGCCACTTCAAAATCCGATTAAGATTAGTTGAGTTATGGAGTTTTGAACTTCAGCCTTGGGACATTTTGTTAGTTTTCTGAATTTGTACAACATCATAACATCAAGAAAATTACAAAAAAATTCAACAAAAATAAATTTCTAAATTTTAATGCAGTTTTTTAGAGAATTGCGTCAGAAACATTTAAAGGTATGCCACTTCAAAATCCGATTAAGATTAGTTGAGTTAGAGAGTTTTGAACTTCAGCCTTGGGACATTTTGTTAGTTTTCTGAATTTGTACAACATCATAACATCAAGAAAATTACAAAAAAATTCAACAAAAATAAATTTCGAAATTTTAATGCAGTTTTTTAGAGAATTGCGTCAGAAACATTTAAAGGTATGCCACTTCAAAATCCGATTAAGATTAGTTGAGTTATGGAGTTTTGAACTTCAGCCTTGGGACATTTTGTTAGTTTTCTGAATTTGTACAACATCATAACATCAAAAAAATCACACAAAAATTAAAAAAAAATAAATTTCTAAATTTGAATGCAGTTTTTTAGAGAATTGCGTCAGAAACATTTAAAGGTATGCCACTTCAAAATCCGATGAAGATTAGTTGAGTTATGGAGTTTTGAACTTCAGCCTTGGGACATTTTGAGCTTCCACAACATCATCACATCAAAAAAATCACACAAAAATTAAAAAAAAATAAATTTCTAAATTTTAATGCAGTTTTTTAGAGAATTGCGTCAGAAACATTTAAAGGTATGCCACTTCAAAATCCGATAAAGATTAGTTGAGTTATGGAGTTTTGAACTTCAGCCTTGGGACATTTTGTTAGTTTTCTGAATTTGTACAACATCATAACATCAAGAAAATTACAAAAAAATTCAACTAAAATAAATTTCTAAATTTGAATGCAGTTTTTTAGAGAATTGCGTCAGAAACATTTAAAGGTATGCCACTTCAAAATCCGATTAAGATTAGTTGAGTTATGGAGTTTTGAACTTCAGCCTTGGGACATTTTGTTAGTTTTCTGAATTTGTACAACATCATAACATCAAGAAAATTACAAAAAAATTCAACAAAAATAAATTTCTAAATTTTAATGCAGCTTTTTAGAGAATTGCGTCAGAAACATTTAAAGGTATGCCACTTCAAAATCCGATTAAGATTAGTTGAGTTATGGAGTTTTGAACTTCAGCCTTGGGACATTTTGAGCTTCCACAACATCATAACATCAAGAAAATTACAAAAAAATTCAACAAAAATAAATTTCTAAATTTTAATGCAGCTTTTTAGAGAATTGCGTCAGAAACATTTAAAGGTATGCCACTTCAAAATCCGATTAAGATTAGTTGAGTTATGGAGTTTTGAACTTCAGCCTTGGGACATTTTGAGCTTCCACAACATCATCACATCAAAAAAATCACACAAAAATTAAAAAAAAAAAATTTCTAAATTTTAATGCAGTTTTTTAGAGAATTGCGTCAGAAACATTTAAAGGTATGCCACTTCAAAATCCGATGAAGATTAGTTGAGTTATGGAGTTTTGAACTTCAGCCTTGGGACATTTTGTTAGTTTTCTGAATTTGTACAACATCATAACATCAAGAAAATTACAAAAAAATTAAAAAAAAATAAATTTCTAAATTTGAATGCAGTTTTTTAGAGAATTGCGTCAGAAATATTTAAAGGTATGCCACTTCAAAATCCGATTAAGATTAGTTGAGTTATAGAGTTTTGAGCTTCAGCCTTGGGACATTTTGATTTTCCACATTATCATCACATCAAAAAAATCACACATAAATTAAAAAAAAATAAATTTCTAAATTTGAATGCAGTTTTTTAGAGAATTGCGTCAGAAACATTTAAAGGTATGCCACTTCAAAATCCGATGAAGATTAGTTGAGTTATGGAGTTTTGAACTTCAGCCTTGGGACATTTTGTTAGTTTTCTGAATTTGTACAACATCATAACATCAAGAAAATTACAAAAAAATTAAAAAAAAATAAATTTCTAAATTTGAATGCAGTTTTTTAGAGAATTGCGTCAGAAACATTTAAAGGTATGCCACTTCAAAATCCGATGAAGATTAGTTGAGTTATGGAGTTTTGAACTTCAGCCTTGGGACATTTTGTTAGTTTTCTGAATTTGTACAACATCATAACATCAAGAAAATTACAAAAAAATTAAAAAAAAATAAATTTCTTAATTTGAATGCAGTTTTTTAGAGAATTGCGTCAGAAACATTTAAAGGTATGCCACTTCAAAATCCGATTAAGATTAGTTGAGTTATAGAGTTTTGAACTTCAGCCTTGGGACATTTTGTTAGTTTTCTGAATTTGTACAACATCATAACATCAAGAAAATTACAAAAAAATTAAAAAAAAATAAATTTCTTAATTTGAATGCAGTTTTTTAGAGAATTGCGTCAGAAACATTTAAAGGTATGCCACTTCAAAATCCGATTAGGATTAGTTGAGTTATGGAGTTTTTAACTTCAGCCTTGGGACATTTTGAGCTACCACAACATCATCACATCAAAAAAATCACACAAAAATTAAAAAAAAATAAATTTCTAAATTTGAATGCAGTTTTTTAGAGAATTGCGTCAGAAACATTTAAAGGTATGCCACTTCAAAATCCGATTAAGATTAGTTGAGTTATGGAGTTTTGAACTTCAGCCTTGGGACATTTTGAGCTTCCACAACATCATCACATCAAAAAAATCACACAAAAATTAAAAAAAAAAAAATTTCTAAATTTTAATGCAGTTTTTTAGAGAATTGTGTCAGAAACATTTAAAGGTATGCCACTTCAAAATCCGATTAAGATTAGTTGAGTTATGGAGTTTTGAACTTTATCCTTGGGACATTTTGTTAGTTTTCTGAATTTGTACAACATCATAACATCAAGAAAATTACAAAAATATTCAACAAAAATAAATTTCTAAATTTTAATGCAGCTTTTTAGAGAATTGCGTCAGAAACATTTAAAGGTATGCCACTTCAAAATCCGATTAAGATTAGTTGAGTTATGGAGTTTTGAACTTCAGCCTTGGGACATTTTGAGCTTCCACAACATCAAAAAAATCACACAAAAATTAAAAAAAAATAAATTTCTAAATTTTAATGCATTTTTTTAGAGAATTGCGTCAGAAACATTTAAAGTTATGCCACTTCAAAATCGGATTAAGATTAGTTGAGTTATGGAGTTTAGAACTTCAGGTTTGTACATATTTTTAATTTTTTTGAATTACAACATCAAACAGAAAAAATACAAAAAAATTTGATTATGGACTTAAGTACTTAAGTATTATTATTGCTCTAAAATAATAAAATCTAAAATATTTACCTAAATATTAAATTAAAACAAATTAATGTGACGAAATGTATGAAAATTATTAGTTACCTGTATGAAGCAATGTAAAGACACGAATCTGGTGTATCTTTAAGTTGCATAGTTTTGGGAGGGTTGTGAAAAAATACCCGAAGATGTAAGTTGAAATTGGAAGCTTTTATTTAGGCAAAGAAATAATTATGTAAAGATTTGGCTGCACTAGCCTTAGTACTACAAGTACCAACTGTACCAGTACTACCACTACCAAGTTTGACAACTGTGAGTTCAGATACTAGTTGACCAACATTTCTCTGTTTTAATCCATTGGCAACGTGCGTAAACCTATGGCAATGGACCACTAGTTCGCAAGGCGTTCAGTTTATCCGCCAATGCCAAATGCCAAACTCTCACCATCCAATTCCATGTTTGCACAGGTGCTGTGGTCTTGGCCAAACTCACTAGGTCGAAACCTGGAAAGTCGAGTGACTATAAATAGTTCCGTTTGCGGAGTGAAATGCCAGTTGAGTTCACGATTAAGTGCCAAGCAAAATGAAGAGCCCTCTGAGTCTGTCGACAGTCCTGTTTATCCTGTCTTACGTCTGTGTGGTCCTGGCCAACAGCATTAGCAGCAGCACCAGCACCAGTACCAGCAGCTCCACACCCAAGATCTGTGTCCTGAGGAACTGCAATCTAAGCTCCACCACGAATGCCTGTGCCCGCTATGGACGCTCCAATCTGTGCAATCGCTTCAAGAACAGCTGCACCCTGCGATATGAATCCTGCGTGGGATCCGCTACTTACACGGCGGTCAGTCTGTCCCAGTGCTCCGGAATAAGCGTAGGTTCCCGTGGAATCTGCGGAGGATCGTCCTCCTCCTCCTCATCCTCGTCATCGTCCTCGTCATCGTCCTCGTCATCGGCCTCAAACGTTAAACCCATCATTATACGCAGGGGTTGATTTCGGTGGCTGAAAATAAAATAATTCAATATGATATTAGATTTAAATGAATCATCTAAATAATTTGACAATACCTTTTTCCAAATATTCCTTTAACTTTTAGTTTCCTATCGATCTGGGACTGAATTCTTTGTTATCATTTTAATTAGCTAAATACTTTACGAATTGTTCTGCCTTATTTATATTGGTTTTTGCTTTTCAAAATTATAGATGAACAATAAATTGCTATATACTCAAGGTTAGAGTCCCGAAATCCAATGCAAATTATAATTATTTGTTAGCTCAGCTGTCAATTTGCAATATAATGTGTTAAAGTAGAACGAATTGTTTTCCTTTTTTTTGCGATACAAACAATGTAGGTGTGGTATAAAAGCCCAGATGTCTAAAGCGCATTTTAATTAGTTGATAGCAAGATGAAATCATCATTCTTAGTGTGTATCATTCTGGCGACGGTATTCATTCTGAACGTTTCCGGCAATAGCAATAGCAGCTCCTCTGAGGATGAGTTGGACTCCCCAGTTGGTGTCGTCCTGACCCGTTCCAAAACCACGTCCCGCAAATCCCAGACCTGCCGGCGAAGTGTCCAGAAGAATTGCTCCTCCTCCACGAAGACCTGCGCTCGCCTGGGAAGAGCCAACATTTGCCAGGCTTTCAAGAACGACTGTGACCGCCAACTGAGCAACTGTGGCGCCAAAAAATGTGTGTGAAGATACAATATCTCTATCTCTTACTAACCATTTCCATTACAGTCTATCGCAAGGTTAGCCTGGTCCTCTGTCGTGGCTTGCCCATCGATGTCCTGCGACCCTGCGGAAGTGGGCAATCCATTGCCAAAGGGCCTTAGAAGAACTTGAACAAAACTGTTAACTATTTCTTAAGAAACTACACCAACCCTATAACTTAATTTTAAAACTAAAAAGTATAACTTTAGTAGACTGTTACCTATATCAAATATTTATGTAAAATGATTACAAATATATATCGATTTCAGAATATATTTAATATTAGAAAGTGAAAATAAAAACCGAACATAGTGTCGATTTTCAATAAATGAAAAATCATAAAACTGGGAAAATATATAGCGCCTAAAATTTCAATTTGCAAGTATTTCAAATCCACTTCTAACGAAATATTCATTACCAATTTGCGAACAGCCTAAAAGTATATTTCTATAAACACGAAGCTCACATTTTATTTGAACAACAAACTTATTAAAACTCTTGAACAACTCACGTGTTGCTTTCCTTACTTTTTTATATGAACTAAGATATATTTACACAATTGCGAGCGAACTGATATGCGCAGGGAACAAAGACCAGGTAATAAAAATATGTTTCTTTGCACATTAGAAAATAGAAAGAATTGAGACGGTAAACATCTTCCAAGGTCGCCAAGAAAGATGAAAGTTTGCAGCGTATAAAAGTGGCAATACGACATCGGTAGTCAATTAGATATTGAAATGCGTTTGACTTTGGCGCTTCTGGTGCTGGTCGCTCTGATCGCCGTGGCCATCGATGCCCAACGGAATCAGAAAAGGACGAATGCCAGGACATTGGCTACCATCACGTCCAGGCGATCCCGAGCTGGAAGCTCGAGAAGGAGCGGCTCCTCCAGTCGCAGATCCGTGATTATCGTTGGCAACGGACGCAATAGCTCCTCCTCCAGGAGCACTTCCACCCCATCCTCCCGATGCCAGACAACTGCCACAAGCTGCTCTGCCAACTCCAATGTCTGCGGTCGGTGGAGTTCCACTCGCAGGTGTCAACGGTTCAAGAACAGGTGCCTCATGGAGCGGGCCAACTGCCGGACAACCGTTTCAAGTGAGTATAGGCTGAATCCAATGAGATACAAAAGTATCTCAGATATGCCAGAACGTATCTCAGACTAGCACTTGTGGAAACCTTGGGATGCGGTGGAGTAACTTTTGAGAAGAAAGTGGTTCTTACCAATTATACTTTTATGTACCTATTCAATAGGCTGGAATGTGGTTAATCTGGGCAACTGTACGAGCATAGCTGTCAATAATACCGGCACCTGTACCAGCACCTTTTCATCAACCTCATCGACCTCAACTTCCAACTCTCGACTGGCCAACATACTATCCGCCATTCTGGGATCATCGTCGTCATCCTCGAGGGTCACGCCCATAATTATACGTAGAGGTTGAGTTGATCTATTATCAATCTATCTCGTTATGGAATCTATCTTTTCTTTATACTACATGAACTGCAGAATTTAAGAATAAATACATTTTACACAATTAAATAACAAGTTTATTTCAGCATGTATAGTTGAAATTTCCGAAAAATCCTTAGGCACTTCCTCGTACAAGACAATGGCATTGTTAAATCACACAACAGCAAGACTAACGAGATTTATTCCTAAATTATGCTAATAAGTTGAACTTTCACTGCCGAAACGTTTCGTAATGACCCATATTTCGGCCATGCAAACAATTATTTATGTGTGCGTGCGCAGAGTGTTCACTGTGCCATTCTAATTGCATCCGCAGGCGTTCGCCATTCACATCCGCACAACGCAAAAAAGAAAATGGCGAAAAATTGCAAACTAAAAAGGGATGCTCCATAAATTTACATTGTCAGTGTGTATGTGTGTGCCTGCGCGCCATAACCATAATTTCCCACAGTTTTGCTCCCTTTTCACACAGTTTTCCCCAGTTTTCCCCTCTCCTTTCAAGTAGTGCGATTTATGCGATTGCAATTAAAAAAGGGCGAAAAAAGCGAAAATGTTAAAGCATACATCATGCGGATGTGAAAGCCATTAAAACTAAACGACATTTGCCAAAGCCCACAAAAACGTTTTAGTTAATCACTATGTGGCTTAAAATTCGAAAATAAAAAGGCAAACGGCGTGCATCGATAACACAGGACTATAAAATAGAACAACTTTTAATTAAAAACTCATATATTAAGGAATAATAAATACAAATAGCTTATGTGCAATCTCCAGTCCCTCCAATTGCGATATTATTTGTAATGCAATTCATAAGCACATCCACAGAAGTGCCAAGTTGGCCATAAGCTGCAAATGAAGAATACCATATTTAATTAGGGGATTTTTGCGTTATTAAATATATAAGCTTAAGCTTCCCTTTTTATATCCAATGTAAGGGTTTAAATGTGATAAACATGTTTCTTAATATGAATGCGCATTACAAGCTCCTATTATTGGTTTTTAAATGTAGTTAGGTCAAAAGCAGCTTACCTGTATTGCCCTTGCAATTGTCGAGAAGGTACTGGCAATCGGTGCGATAGTACTTGCATGTGTATACCGCATTATTTTGGCCATCAACGCCGGTTTGGAGTCGAAGGCATCTGGGACTGGTCCTGGAACAGGTCCTTTTGGTGCTCCAGAGGCAGTAGAAACGCTGCCGAGCCTCCAGCTCAGAAACCAGACTCAGCATCAGGAATGCATATACAATTAAAGCCAGGAACTTCATAGTGCCAATCGCTTCAAATTGACGGTTGAACTTTAACTGGCTTGAAGTAAATGTATCACCCGATTTTATAGTGCCTACTTTTGCCATCTGTTTGCGATCTGCAAATATTTGATATCAACGAAAGTGAAATTCGAAAAGAGGCCCTAAGCGATGGTATACCCTTCCAGAGAGTACATTGGTTTAAGTCATTAGGTATACGAGTATATAATCTATACTCAATATATTTAATATAGCCAGGTACGACTGTCCATCTGTCTGTTCTGCATGCTGTTCTTCCAAAAGCCCTCTTTCTATTGAAGTCGAAATATGAATTCTGTTTTAATGTAATACAAATCAGATGACTTTATCACGTAGCTGCCATAGGCACAGTAGGAAAATAAAAGATACGTAATCTAGTTGCATTGTTTTCAATCGTAAAGTGTTCTTACTGGGTAAACATCACTTTTTTTAATAAATAGTGACTACAAGGGCATATAAACTTCGGCTTTCCGATGCTAGCTTTGTTTCTTGTTAGCTTTGTTCTTGCCAAAATCTGATGTTGAGTAAGCCAAAGCCAATTCCAAATGTTTGCCCGATCAAATAGAAGGTGACAGCGCTTAGTTAATCAGCCAATGGATAAATACCAACTGTTTGTGGAGAAATTGTAGCAGGTGCGTTTTCAGTTTTAACCTACAAATGAGTGGGAAAGGTTTCAACAAATGAATGGGAAAATAATTTGGTACTTTAAAATGTTTAATTTAAAGAAAGCATGGGTAATATCATTGTTGTTATACATTTCATTAAAACTTTCCTCATTTACATGTGTGTTTTTCGGCGATTATTTTATTCATCAACATGACCTTCTTGTACAAATTTCTTGAACTTGCCGAAAACAGCTTATATAATTACCCCAGCCCCAAATGAGCCAGAATATGCCAGAATAGGCCAGAGGAATACAATTACCGATGGAGGGAGGTGTGGCTGAACCGGCCACAGTGTGTATTCGTTAGTAGAAAACCTATCGCACTGGCTGCCACTCGCTTTTCCCGCACTCCATGCGTCAGAACCATCAGTCTTCTGCCTGTCCGTCCATCATGCGAGTTTCAAGTCCCCAGTTACCTTCACTAAAAGAAAACACTGGCATAAATCATGCCAATGAAAATGATTAATCAAACAATGTGTATAGCTCTGCATTTCAAAGTTAAAAGCGGAGTTTTGAAAAAACACTACAAAAGTAAATGTAAAGAATGAAATAATGTTTTACGTTATTACGTATTACGATGGCTTTTGAAGCTTTTTTTTAAGCGTTTCAGTCCGCTTGGTAGAGAGTTTTCCTCAGTGCACCTACAATGCCCACCGTTTTCCATTTTCCCATTTTTCACCTCACATTTCCATAGCTGGCATGTCATGTCACGAGCTCATTTCACTGCATTTCCATGTAAACTCCATCGAGTTTCGCCCGCCAAAATACAGATTAAAGCACATTCCCAATTCGATGCTATTTGTGTGTTCGGTGAGCTATTTAATTCTGAGAAACATGTGGCTGTGCCGGAAAGGGTATACGGAGTTCGGTATACAAATGGTCAGGCAATTTTGTGCATGTATATTTCATACCTTCATTGCTGATTGCTGTTGTTTTTGGTAGCTTGCATGCGTTTGTTATTTTTTTTACGTTTTTATCGCACCTTCGCAACCCTACCCTTTGACCTCCTTCTATTTAGTCGGCGATAAAGTGCAGCTTAAGCTCTGGTTACGAGTACGATTATTTTTTCGAATAAATTGCCTTTGCCATGCCACAGGCTTGCGGCCCAAAGTACGCAAAAGCTTAAGAATGATTAGGCCAATGTGGAAATGCAGGAAAAATGGCGGTCGGGAAATGCACTTTAATTAGTTGGAGCCTTTTGAATGGATGATTGCATGTCCTGCGAATGGCATGCTTATCGCTATTTGTGGCCATTTTCGTTCTTCCAGGAGCTTTGGCTGACTTTTCAGTGCAACACAAGGTCAAGCCGTGGTGTAATAATAATAAAGGCGAATGAATAACCATAAAATGTTTATTTTTAACATAACAAAAGTGCAAGGCGAGCCCAGACAAGGCCCCTCACTGCAGTTGTTTGCTAATTATTTTCCATTTCCATTTAACTTTTTCGCGCCTTGTTTTCCAAGCAGTCCGCCCTTTCCACTTCTCGCTTTCCACTTTTCTCTTGCCACTTGCTTAATGCGCTTTCTGACATCCCGCTGTCATTTTGCGCAGTTTTTCCTGACTTTTCCTCATTTGCTATTAATAAGCTTAAGGCATTTCCACTGCGGCTTGCATGCCTTCGGCTGCATTTCTTGTTTCTTGGCCAACACTTCTCATTGCGCTGCATTATGCATGAGCCATATTTGTCACGCTAATTGAATAATATTATCGTATAATTAATGGGTAATAGTATCACCATCCCAATGAATTTTAAATGTTAGCCGCAAAATTAATGTTTCATAGCCTACTTTCGAGGATTTCTTATTTATGAAGCTGAGTCAGCCTGTGAACCTTCATATAACATATAGCCGCCATATAACATATAGACTATAACCCATTAATGGCCCACTTAATGCCAATCAATCGATGCAAAGAATCCCGTCGTCGTAGGTAAACAAATAAATCAAATGTGTAGACATGTAGCGTATGTAAATTAAGTTTTGTCATTTACAGCAATAAATTTCGTATTATTTTTAGCTTTATGGGACGATTATTGGGCACATGTCTCCATATTCGACACGAACATGACACCCAGCTCAGAAATCAACCGGAATAGTGAGCACCGGTTCCAATTTCCTGTCAATACTTTCAGAACGGAGCCTCAAGAAAGCTGGAGTACACTTGCAAAAATTCAACATTCCCTTGGTGCAGAGTGCTCAGTGCTCAACAAGTGAAATATGATTAGCACAATGCTTTCATATAAGAAAGTTTTATTGCGAAAATATAGAAATTTAAACGAATTTCCTACATACGAATTTCGCATGCCTTGTAATTTGGGATCATATTTTTCTGCAGTATACCCAAATATATACTCACCCGAGTTTCGTGTCAGTTGAGCGTCCGCAAAAACCGATTTTTGGATAACAAAAAAACAAAGAGATATAAAAATAATAATAATATGGGGAAAGGCGAAAGGGAAAAGGGAAAATGAAAATAAAGGGAAACCGGCGCCTGACACATACAAAAAACATTTGTTTGTTATACAGACTAAATGGATGTGAGTGCGTGGGTGGTTTGGGTGGCCTGGCTGATTCTGGGTGGCTGTAATGGAGTGGAGTGGCTCGGCTGTGGGGTGGTGGGAGATTTTTCTGCGTCGCACTCACGAATTATCGATAAAACATGCTTCACGGGCGGAGTGAGGTGGGCTCTGTCTCATTACGCCCACAACAAAATTGGGAGAGGCATTGGTCCTGTGTTTTCTTTTGTCGGAGGCATGTTGAAAATTGAAATCGAAAACAAGAACGAAAACGAAAACGAAAGCTGGCCCCAAAACTTGTTTGCACTTTGTTGATTCCCCAATCTTTACGATTTACGATTTATTTGCGAGCAAAATCAAATTATTGCATGTGTCACAAGTTTCATTCGGCTCCTGGGGTGACAAAAAGCCCAAACAACCATAAATATACATATCTGCTCGTCAATAACCAAGTGTATAACAAGCCTTTGAGCTTCACAGCCCCCGGAATCCTGCCATAATAAATAAAACTTTGTTTTGTCATAGTTTCAGCTTTGGGTTAAATGGTTTGTCGAAAGTTCCCAATTTCATTTGATTTTCCCACTGCTCTACATGATTTGCATGCACAGCAAGTGTGGGACAAAAAAAAAAGACAAAGCACTGGGTTTCATCAAAAAAGAAATGGTTGAAAATGAAACTTTGATGAGCTATTACTCATATTGACAAGGACCCTCATTTGTCTAGGATGATTGGGACAGGAATGGCCGGACTGATAGCGGTCCTTTTGGCCCGCATCGCGTATACGCAATGTGGCCTTGGCCAGACAGTTAAGTGGAAAAGTTTGTGGCCAAGGATGATTAGCCCGCCTTCAAAAGGGTTACTTTTCCAACTCATTGGTAATGGGTAAATGCTTTGCCATTTAAAAACACGAAGATCTTTAAGTTGAAAAGAATCGTTGAATTAAATCTCTAAAGAGATAAATTCTGAGCCGAATCGAATGTAATATAGTGCACACTATTTAAACGGAATTTTAATACTCAGTAACCATAGTTATTATTATTATTATCTTATCAGCTGTTACACTTTATTATATATATTATTTATTTGAAATTGTTCTTTAACTCAAGTCGAAATATTCAGGACAGTAAGTAATGGAATTAAAAGTAAGTTTTTAAAGTAAAAACAAAGTAAAAAGTAAGTTTTGCAGGCTTTTGAACCTATTTTTTAGAAGTAAACCATAATAGCTATAAAAAGTAACTACCAGAAGGCAACAGAAATGTAGGATACATTAAGGTAATATTTATGTAATGATGTGCGTAAGGGGAAACAGGAAGTGCGGCACATGCGACACGTCAACATTCAATTTTCTAATGAAATTTTTATTATAATAAAGCACATATCCGAGTCGTGGGAGGTTACAGGCCACGCCCACCTACAGCCCAGGCTAACGTATTCATGGGCAACAGTGTTGCTTTACTTCCTGCTCCAAATCCCCCCCGACCGCTTTTCCCACCAACATCCGAAAATTCTGTGTGTGTATAATGAATGCTGGCTGTGTATTGGTTGGTGGAAATGGTTCTATGCGTTCGTGCGTGTGAGTGCGATACCTCTCTCTCTTTCTCTCCCATTCTCTGTCTCTTACTTTGGCGAAGTGGCCGCCCCTACAAACAGAGTCCAACATGACCTACATTCCGGATCCGGGCGACGATGTAGCTAAGCAACTCCAGGGTCTCAAAGCCACCATCTCACCCTTGGATTCATCCAAAAAAGCGGGAAGTGCGGGGAGCACTGCGAACAGCAAAAGCAGAAGAACAGAAAAGCACGCAGCACGCATAGGAAAAAGGACTCCCCCCTGGCAGTCCTGTGAGTCTCCCTTCCCCTCCTGCCTCCTTAACCCAGTCATCTGCCCAGTCAAGCCTTATAAAAATTGTTTTCGGTCGCTTATTGGCAACAAATTTGCGTGCCTTGCATACAGAACAAAAACGGAAAAAGGACCAAAGCCAGAGAACAAACGCAGAGTTCACTACAGTAAAAAATCGGTACTTTGAACAACTCCTTGATAAAAAAATGCACCGAAAACCAAGAACTTTAAACAATGCGTAAGATTCAGTTATACCTTTTGATTTGAATAGAAACGAGCTCATACACTATTTTAACACAATTATTACTTAAATTTTTATTGGTAAGGACTGGACCTAATATAACTTTTAACAAAAATATACTTTCCCTGACATTTTGTATAGAGTTTTGTGTTTGACTGTATCTTTAACAAGATGAAAAACCTGATGAAGGTTTCTCCCACAGCGACTTCATTACAAAAGTTTGCCAAATTGTGTAGGCGCTAAATGCAACAAATACAGTAAACAATTTATTAACTTGGCCTGAAGAGATTTTCGCTGGCTTCGCGAAGAATCTGTTAGATGGAAGTAAGCGGCTTCGTTTACCACTAACAAGTGAATTTCATTTGTTCTTTCTTTTTGCAACGCAATGCCATCAATCATTTTGGCCAGGACATTTGCTGCTTTTGGCCTAAATGAAACAGAGAGCTAGGGATGTGAGCGGGCAGGAAAACGGAAGTGAGGTTTGGCAAACAAACCCGGTGCACGTGCGGTCATTTTGTCGTTTATTGTTGACTTTGGTCAAACAGAAAATATATAAGAAATATAATATTTGAAGATGATCCCAGCCAGGCGATAGTCAGCACGTGCTGAATATGTACGAAATAAAATATCCTTCTTATATCATAATTAAGTATCCGCAAAGGTTAGATGAAGAAGAAGGTACAGAAACGTTGCGTGATAAAAATATGTAAGCAAGTGCAGAAAAGTAATCTTAAAAGCTAATGCAAAAATGCTTGTAATTGGATACTATTTATAAGTATTAAATACGTAATTACTTTAGCATTTCTGCCACGACCTCCGATAGGAAATGCCGATATCTACAGCTGATCCAATTAAAGTTTTGTGAAACTGTTTGGCCAGAATTCTTTGATAAAGTTGCCAAGGCCCTGGAATCCTTGATTCGAATTTGCTGCTTGAATTTCAATTTCGTTTGTTCTCCAAGCGTAGCGAAAGCTAAATCTTTCCGAACTTTTGATAGTTTATTAAATTATTACAAAAAAATGGGGAAAAATGTTCGCCAAAGCGAACAGAAACTTTTCTAATAGCAACAAAAATTTGAAACAACCAAGTCGAGTGGATGGGCAGGCTGGTTGGGTGATTTGGGTGGTTTGGGTGGCTTGGCTTGGCTGGATACACTTTGTTAGCCAAGTTAACTCTTTGCAGGACCTGAACGACAGTTTGTTCTGTCGCTCGCTTCACAGTTCAGAACATTCAAATTACAGAGAAGGTTGGCAATTCAAACCAAACGGAAGCAAAAGCCAAAAGTTCTCGGGGCAACTTGAGTGCAAGTTGCTCCATAAAATGCGCCAAACATTACCAACTCAAAATACATGCCAGACTGCCTCGGAACAGACCCAAAACTACAGTCCAAAAGTGTAACTGCCAAACGGAAACAAGACAGGGAAAAACCCAAAAAAACTGAGAAAGCCATGAAAAATTCAGCAGAAACTTGTCCAGGTGGGCGGCAGGATTCAATGGGGCGGCAACTGGACTGGGTGCCACTTCATTTGGCAGTGCGAGCGCTTCCTTTTGGTCCTCGCTCAGGTGACAAAACCAGGTGCCCGGCCAAATGGATCCTGCCCGGCAACTGAATGCCTTCCAAGCACAAAAGACTTGTGGAAGGGGAAACTATAAGTGTACTGTACTCCGAGGCTTAATTGTCCTGCCCATGGCTATAATTTACCCGGAAAAGCGCGTTTATAAGGAAGCTTTAATTCGGCAACTCGCCTTTAATGAAGATACTTAGGACTTCAGATGTTCTTTAAACTATAGTTTTCTTTTTTGTTAAGGATAAGAATTCAAAAAAAAGATCTGAAGTGGTGCTTATAAATGTATTATAACTGCTCAAATAAGAACAATCCCTTCTCATACTAGCACATCCTAACACAAATCTAGATCTCTGTGCCTTAAAGCGGAACTACCCCAACCTGAATTCGTATTTTATAGTGAAAATTCCAAAACCATCCTACTCAAAGGAAGACCAGACTCAGGGGCATATCTTTCGGATCCGCTGGTAGGAGACCCAACAACCTGACCTTCCCGATGGCAGCCCGAGCATTATAATAACACTTTCTCAAAAAGGTTCTTTATGGGGTTTCCACCCCATTCCATTCCATTCCATTCCCCCATTCCCCAGCCCCCAACCAGCATTCCCTAGCCACGAACCACCACCCACCATTAAGCACAGTTAGTTAGTCGTTTCTTGTTTCTCGTTTCCCTTTCCTTGAGTCCATTGTTCCGCGGTATCTCCGCTGCTCTCTCCTCTCTACCGCCCAGTTCTGCGCGACGACTATGGCCGAAAGTAATCTTCCAAGGCAAATGTGAACCACAAACAAATTTATAGCTGCAATGCGGCCAGGCCGAGCATAACGGGCCCACATTTCTGTGAAATCTATGTGAGTGGATGTGCAGGAGGGGATGGAAATGGAGAAATGGAACTCAAAAGGAAACTGTCGAGTGAGGACGACTATAAAAATATACAACAATACTGCCAAGGCAACGGGACATAATGAGCCAGGGCCAGACAGCCCGAAACGGTAAATCGTAAGCGGTAAGTCTCTAATCGGTTAACGGTAAAACCGAGCTCAGCTGAGCGAATGTGGGCCACCAGCAGGAGAGCGAGAGCGAGAGAGACCGAGAGCGAGAGCGAACAATTTGGGCTCTGGATTGTTGCTTTTGAACTGCACCTCCTTTGCAGTACCGTTAGCGTTTTTCTGCTTTCATGCTTTGCATGGCCATTTGTTACGTATACGTATGCGGAGCAGGAGGACTCTCGTTCTCTCTGCAGACATGCTTTATTTGGCTGCATACTGTAAGGCGCTCTCCCGTTACTTCTGTCTTTCAAATTTCAATGCATAAGCTAAGGCGCCGCCTCTCTCTTCCCGAATGTCTCTCTCTCTCTCTCTCTCTATTTTTACTTTACACTCTCTGCTTGCTCTCTCCGCTTGTTTATGCGTCATTTCTTTTGGCTTTTTCTCACTCATCTCCCTTTTTGGCTAGTAATTCGTTCGTCTATCGTCCATCGCTTTTCTTACCAAGCAAACGCAGAGGCACCAACAAATATTATTTCTTGCTCAATTTTATTTTTCTTTCTTTTCATCTAGCCCTTCCCTTTTTTTCTGCTGGTTCGCATTGCAGCATTTTACGCAGACAAGCGAGCACATTCTTTTCCCAGAAAGAGAGAGGAAAGAGGGAAAGGAGAACGAGGGCTTTGCGACGTTTTCAGCAAATGTTCGCCATTCATTTTTGTCATCGGCGCCTTTGTTGTCGTTGTTGTTGTTATTGCTGTTGGTGTTGTCCTTGTTGCTGCGCTTGTTGTTTTTGGCTGGGATGGTGCCTGGAAAACTTTTTGGCCTCGCCGCGAATGCTTCTTCTTACTTGTTGCGTTTCGTCCTGGGACAAAAAATGGCGAAACGATATGAGAAGGGAATGGGAACGAAATGGGAACGGAATGGCTATGCCAACTTCTGCTAGCTTATTTTTGCATTGGCCACTGTGTTTATTTATTATATCTTATCTATATACAATACGGGGGTTGAAATATTATAAAAAATTCTATCCATAAAAAAAATTATTGATGACCCTAATTATGAAAAAAATTTTAATGAACTTCATATCTTGAATGTAATTTTAGCTGGTTACTAATTTAAAAAAATATATATATATCGCTTATAAAAGGCAAACTATTGCATTTAATTATTTTCTATACATTTTGAAATCTTGTAAGATTATTTCCGTTAAGTACCCCAAATACGGTAGGAAAAAATAAGGTAGGAAATATGGAGAGACCACAGTACTAGTGAATCTCATTTTTGGCAGAATGCACCGAAGGGTTTTCAGATTACATTCACTCTGCGGCTCCCCCTTTCATGCCAGTTTCATTAGGTAGATTTTCCACCTGAGTGAGGAACTTTTCACCAACACCACACCCCCAGCCATCAACATTGTTTTGCATTCACAAGTTCGTTTCATGCTCTTATGGTTTTCTTTTTTTCCCAGCAGGCCCCTCTGCATCGCATTTTCCCTCGTTTGCTTTGCTGCAGCAGCTTTCATTCATGCCACGTCAGTTGACATAATGCGACATGGCCACACACAAGCAACAAGCCACCCACCCACTGAAGGCAACCACCCACCGCCCCCTAGACAATCACCACCCAACACCCACACTCTTCATTGTCGACTACTGCACTTGGCAAAAGTTTCTACCAGTCATTGCCATGAAAGTGCTATTCAAATTTAACGCCCCCTCGCCACGCCCCCCTTCCAGTTGCTCCTTGATCGAAAGGGTTTCTATTTGGTATATTCTTTGGCTTTGCAACCAGGCAACACGGTCAACAGAGCAAGCCATGCTTGTTTATCCGTAAAAACAATAACAAACTCCGTTCAGAACTCAAAAAGACCTCGACACAAGCATATCCAGAAAAGCTAAAAACATAAATCGGGAATTATAGAGAAAAGGGAGCATAGAGGTTAAGCTTATGCAAATACGTGGAATACCTTAAAAAGCATTGTATGAAGAACGATTAACTTACCAGATTGCCGTGCACCAATCTGCTTTAACTTCGTGATTTTGTTTACCAAATGAAAGATGCAAATTCCTGTTTAATCCGAAAGTCATTTAAATTGCTACAATAATACCGCCAAAAAGCAAATTTTGAAAAGCTATTTATGTCTATATAAACGTACATTTTCCAATGAGGACTTTTATATAAGCCAAGAGACCGCAAAGCTGCTAAGTAAAAATGGGTTGGTACAAATTGAATGTTTTAAGATAAAAACAGTTAGAGCCATATCCGTTTCTCCAGATACAACCGCCGAACGTCAGGTGAGACTGGAAGGAGTGGAACGTATGCTCAAGATGTCCCAGGAGCGCATCAAGATAGCCATGATCATTCCAAAGTTGCTGGAGAACCCCGAGAAGCTGAAGAGCGTCCTAAAGGGCACCTGCTATGACGAGGTCCTCGAGCCCATCGATGACATGATCCGTCACCTCGGCAAGCAGAGTGGACGTTCCAAGCTGCCACACGACCACACCACCATGCGTATCGTGGACTTCTTCCTGGTCAACCATAGCATTCATCGATTCTTTCCGCACCTGAAGAAGAACCTGAACGAAAGGGATCGAAAGCTGCTGGCCGCCTTCCATTTTCTCCTGGAGAGCGCCCACGTCCATCTGAACCGGTCCTCGCGGAGCGAGATCACCAAGGAGCGAAAGCTGCATGCCATATATCACCAAAATGTTGACATCCAGAAGAAGATCAAGGAACTGAAGGCGAGCCTGGCCTTCCAAAAGGTAATTGGCAAGTGGAAGACGGCCGCCAAGGGCATCTATCTGATGAAGGTCGAGGAGGATCTGGCCAACAAGAAGTGGCAGAACAACGTGGCCATCCAGAACGAAATGTAAGTACGAGTTTGAGTGCTATAATCCGCATACATCGTTTATTATCCAATTTACAGTGAAAAGTGCAATCGCACGATGCGAAGTTACCACAAGAGCAGCATGGACAGGCAGAAGGAACTGGAGGAGGAGCTGGAAAATGCCCGGGTCAGCTACGAGAAGATGACCAAGAAGCACCTGGCCGAAGAGCACGAGCTGCGAAACGAAAAGTAGGCTGCAAATGGTGTTATCTAACAATTAATGGTATAATCCTGAACATTGATAATCCTGAACAGAAACAAGTTGCTACTGCAACTGCAGAGCATGCTAAAGAAGTACGACACCAGTTTGGGCGAAAAGATGCGCGAGAATCTGGTGGCGGAGGATCAGTATCGGGCGGCCAAGAAGGTCCTCGACGACTTCATGGTCCACTATAGGCAGGAGGAGCGCATCTACAAGAACATAGTGGTCAAGCGGGAGGAGGAGGAGCGTCGCATCCAGCAGGAGAAGCTGGTGATCTTCATGATGAACCGGGCGGCGGCCAAGATCCAGAAATACTGGCGCAAGTGGAAGAAGGATCAGCGCAAGCGGAAGCGCCAGGGAAAGGGCAAGGGCAAGAAGGGAAAGTAGTGTCCAATATATAGTGTCCACTATATATATTTCTACATTGTACAATTTATATGTAGAAATACAAATATATTCCAAGCTTCTACTACTACTAAACATTTAAATCCTGTTCCTGCAAGAGGTCCTTATTTTTTAAAAAGTTAATGTTGTTTGCCAAATGTTGTTTGCCAGTTGGCTTTGCTAGCTTTTGTGGCATGAAATGACTAAGTACCCATGTATGCATAAGTACCCATGTATGCAAATTAATGTTTCCATAAGAGAAAAGCCAAATGTTTACTCGCAATTAAATCGTGTTTACTTGACACTTGACAATACACAGAGTTTGCACAGAAACAAGAATTGGCATTTCTAATACATTCTAGAGAAATTAAAATATTATTTGCTATTAAGTTCTTATCTTGAAGTAGTCCCTTAAAGTATTGACTTTAATTGGTTAATTTGAAGCCTAAAAATATATTTGCCAAACCTTGTAAGCAAATTGTACATCTAAACCTATTTCAAAACATAAAATGCTACCCAGTTTGATATGATTTTTTATCGAACTGCTATAAATTTCGCCTAAGGCATTGTCAACGTTTTTTTTTTTTGTCGATGGGGTGAAGGGGCGAATTGTGGGGCTTCCCTGCGATTGCGAAAATCCAAGAGAGAATGAAAACGCCTGGCAGAATGTTTACCCAGCACGCACACACACACAGAGAAGGAGGGAAAAGCCGAATTTTCATGTCTTGCGGGGCGAACGAAAAATGGCGCATTGCTGTCGTCGCCAAGCGACAACGACAACGACTACGACAACTACAAACGCTCTTTTGGCCCGATGTTTGCTGCATTGTTACTTCATTTTCATTCTCGTTTTCGTTACCTAGCCATCGCCATCGCCATCGCCGTCGCCACACCACCCACCTCCCATTGCCCACCCTTGTGGCATGTCTAATTTTCCAGAGGTTAACATACTTAACTTGTTGGCATGCGTTGCAAATGCGCCAAGGCTGCAACGTTGCACCAAGCGGCGCCACATTGCGACAATTCGCTGCGGCAAAGGAAATCGTACGGCAGCTGGAAAATGCGCAAAATCGCCGTCCAATGGTGTCCAGTGGCCAACTGTCCAATGTCCAATGCCCAATGCGAAATCCCAGTGGAATGGCCAAACGTTCCGCATTGTAATTGCATACACGCATTCGCTGACCACCAATTTGTAGACATTATCTTGAGCTCAAATAAAAAATGTATTATGTGTAAATGCTTCCATTTTCCAGGGCTAAAACTTATGTTTCTCCATACTTTTTAAGTAGAACTCAATAAACACCACGGTTTAAATTTCGATCATAGATAAGGCAACGCTGCGTATGCGTAATTTTGCCAAACGAAATTATTTTGCAACGGTGCGTATGAGTAATGTCAATGTCAAGTGGTTTTGGCAGGCAAAGAAACGAATTTATTAATTAAAAGGTTACAAGTTATTTAAATAATTTATAAATAGAATAGTATAAGTATAGTAAGTATAAATAGAAATAAATATAGAATAAATATATATAATAAATATAAATAGAATAAAAAACGTTTTCCTTATAATACTTGTTTTTGCAAGCACTAAAGTTTCTTATCCATTAAAAATACTCAAAACATATGTAACCCATATCACCCACAGCGGACTCATGCTACAAATAAAAGTTTTGATAAGCCCGAAAAGAATTCATGGAAGTAATTTTGTTGATTCTTTCAGTTTTGAGTCATAAAAAATACAAGCCAATGCATATCACTGCTCTATTATTATCATATTTATTATTCCAACGCCATTTTAAATGCCTATAAAACGAATAAAAAAAGAAATGTTTTTACACTCAGATCAGTGATTCTTTTGTAACAAAGTCTACAATTCGGCCAAATTCAAGCCACTCGCAAACTTAGTCAAATTCCAAAGTAACCACCATGGCTAAACGCGATATCCTGCCCGTCTTTCCCTCCCGGGCCAATTCGGTGATCATGAAACAGCGGGTTTTGGCGGCGAGGAGGGGCGTGGGTCTCCTAAAACGGAAGCGGGACGCCATCGACATGAAGTTGCGCGAACTGCGGCGCATTCGCTTCGACCAGGACATGCTGGGGGATGAGATGATGCGCCATGCCATATTCTCGATGGCAAAGGCCAATCTCCTGGGCGCCGACTTCAAGCCGCAGATGGTTAGCCGCAGCCACGCGGCATCCGTATCTCTCCGCCGCACGGAGATCAAAATTGTGGGCGTCAAGCTGAACACCCTGGAGCTGGACACGAAGGGCGTGGGCGCCTTTCCACTGGCGGGTCTCAGTTGTGGTGGCATGCAGGTCAACCGGATCAGGAATGCCTATACGACGGCACTCAAGGCACTGGTGGAGTTCTCCTCCCTCGAATACCAAGTGCGCATGCTGGAGGCGGCCTCGCTGCAGACCAACATGAGGGTCAATGCCCTGGAGCATGTGGTAAGTAAAATTAACATATAATATGATATACCATATAAGCAAATATCCGTTGTATCCCCAAAGGTAATACCCGTTTTGCAAAATACCTACAACTATATATGCGGCGAGTTGGAGGAGTTCGAGCGCGAGGACTTCTACCGCCTGAAGCGTTCCCAGGCAAAGCAGCTGGAGGCCAAGATGGCCTTCACCGAGCTGATCAAGACCAAGAACATGACCGACGAGGAGCTGGAGAGCTACATAAAGCGGAACATCAGTCAGGCACGTCCTGCCGCCGACACTCCCTTCGATCAGGATGAGTTCGAGGAGCGGGAGGTGAAGCGGCGAATGCGGGAGGCTCGAATGTCCATGAAGCAGCGCCGCGAGGAGGAGAGGAAGGAGTCCCTTGAGCGGGGCGAGCCCCCGCCGCCCACATCCTTTATCACCACTCATGGCGCCTCGCTGAGTTTCGCCGGTCGCCAGAGGGATCCGCGTGCCAGCAGTGGGGATCTGTACAGCACCAAGCGGATGCTCCTCTCCTCCTTCTCTGGGCCGGAAAGGAAGTCCGCTATTTCCGCGTCCGAGAGAAAGTCCGATGTTACTGCGCCCGAAACCAAGGAAACCGAGGAAGCCCAGGAAGCCCAGGAAACCCAGCGCAGATCCAGTGAGTCGTCAAAAAGAAATGACGATCCGCCCCAGGAAAGTTAATCGAATTCCAAATAAATTTCAGTTGCACCATCATAAAGGTCGAAAGCAAATCTTATTTTAAATCAAACTGAATTTAACATAGCTCGAAACTGCACTTGTCGAAATAATACAAAGTATTTTTAATGAAAGGATTTATTTTAGTTAATCATATGATACAAATATCTTTATATAGAGAGTACATAAATTTAAGAAAAAATAAAAAAATTATCTTCCTGGCTTCTAACCAGGAAACATTCACCATACACCAATTATTTTAAATATGTATATAATTTCGGTTTTCATTTAACTAAAATCGGTGTACTATATCATGTAGCTGGCATAGGAACCTTCGAGAATTACTAGCAAGTTAATGGAAAATAAATCATAGCATAGTTTAAATGATCATTAAGCGTTATTATCTGGTACATAATACTCATTTTATTATATTATATTATTTTATATTTTTTATTTTACTATTATAATATATTTCAATTAGGGTATGATAAGTTACATATAAGTTGTTACAATTTTTTGTACACACCAACAAATCGAACTTGCACGAGCCCCACTCCCCACACCCCCCATAATTTTCGCAAAAGCGCCGGCGCGACCGTTACAACGGCGAAATCAAACTTATTTTCGGTTTACGAAGGTGAGTGGGAAGGCAACAGAAACAGAAAGAGAAACACATGCAGACGCTGCACGAGCGAACTTACCCGGTTCAAACTTATCGGTATCGTTCTCGTGAGAGCGAGAGAGCGTGGCTGCTGCTGGCAAAATAAAACCGTATATATGGCGACGCAGCGCTATTTCGAACACAAAGTTTTGAGTCGTCGACCGTTGCGGACGGAAATTCAGATTAGGATCGTGAGTTGTCAGAACAAACAGACCAGACATTGCATATAGAGAGCAGTATTGGGCCAACAAAAAAAATAAAAAGAAAACCATAGAGCACACACCCAAGGACCAGAAGCTGCGAAAGTTTCGCGGAAAAGCCAATTTCTCGGCGCCAGCCAAAAAAATCAAGAAAACCAACGAGCAAAAAAATGAAACAAATATCTTTATAAAAACCGAATTCGAGCAACTCTTATATGTATTAGCTCTCCCCGCCACATATCTACTATATAAACGAGAATTCTGCCGTGTGCGCGCGTGTGTTTGGCATATTTCGCACAATAGATGAAAAAAAAAAAGAAACGCCGAATGAAAGCCACAAAAAAATAAAGAAGAAACGCAAGGCGAAAATTTGTATTAAATTCGGCTAAAGCAACAACACTACAGAATTTCAGAAACTGCCACGGCGAGGAAAAAAAGCGTCGGCGTCGGTGCTTTGGACGCTTTTTTTCTCTCCAAGCTGGCAGTAGTTTTCCTCCTCTGCCTCTTCCACCTCCAGCTGACCCCCCGAAAGTAATACCCATCAAACCTCTTCTTGCTTCTTTTGCAGTGTGTTAATTAGTAAAAAATAAAGTTTACCGCGCGTTCCGTAATTCCACTCACACATACCAACACCCAAGCAGCAGCAGCAGTAGCCGCAGCGGATTAAAACTTCGTCACTCTAGCAACAAACAGAAAAAAAAACACCTACAAAAATGGTAAGTTTATGGGGCTGGAAAACATGTGCATCTTTATTTTCTGTTTACACAACCTGCGGCCATCATTTTCCATTGAAATTTCCACAGTTTTTGCGAAAAATCAAAGTCAAACAGCGACCCCCAGGCAATTGCCATTAGTGCGAGCGGGATGGGGCGAATCGCTTCCAATTAGACATTGTTTATATGGTTTTAACGGCTTTTCACACACACACTCGCTCACACACATCCCAGCACACCAAACACCCCGTCGAAAAGCAGCTGTCCCCGGGAAATTCGTTTACATTTGCACCCCAAAAATATATCGCACTTACGGGTAGGAAAAAACTGGTTTTTTCTACAACCCAATATCGTTGATTTAGAAACAAGAAATTGGGAACACCATGCATCCCCCGAATACGTGGTAGTTTATACCCCTTTCACCTCAGGGTGCAAATGTAGTTCTCTTAGACTAAAATGGAATGCAGTCACTTGATATTTGTCACTGTAAAATTGGAATTTAAGTTGCAAGATTTTCATGTTCTTAACCTGGCTTAATCAAATGTTCAACTTTGGCCCCGAGGGTCGCAGAAAACAAGCAGCACAATTAAATAGCAATGCCAATAGCAAGAATTTACACACATGTCACGTCACTCGTCAAAATTATTATTTATTTCATCAAGGCTGTCGCATACGGAATGTTGACTCGATCGGGTTTGCCCTATAATAATTCCATGACGTTCGGTACAAATACCCCTGGAAACCCAATCGGGCGTGGAGAAGTGGAAACTCTTATCAGCATCTCAAGCAACACCTCACTTTTCAAAGTCCCCCCCGGCTTGCCCAACCCTCTATTTGGGATCATAAATCAATGTGATTTTAGCCAATTTGTTGAGCATAATGCACACACGCAAGCGACATACACGCATACATAAACGCGTTGCCATCGGCACTTTTATCAGCAATTTTTCAAAGATCCCCGCAAATAATAGAAAAGCGCCCTCCATTTTGCTTATCAGTGGAAAAAGTGTGAATATATATTGATGATGAACAACAAAGTCGCCGGGCCCGGCATTATTGGCTTCTTCTCTTTGCCCCGCCGTTCGTTGTTCGCTTGCTCTATGCTTTCTGCTTGTATTTTTTATTTACCGCACACTTGGCCGCAAAAATTGAGGTTAGACACGGCCCCATGGAAATGGTGAAAAAATTCTTTATAATTCGCGCTGCGTTCTCTTTTCTTGCTCTTGCGCACTGGCCGCTCAGTTTAACCGTTTCGACGCTCTCTCACCTAACCGTTTCACACACTTTCGCGTCTCTCTCTATGTGCAATTATTTCGTTTGCGTTATCAGTTCCGTTTTGTGCTGCGTCTCTCTCTTTCCGTTTCTTTCAGCATTTCATTTTTTTTTTTGCGCCTTGCGCTTGTCACTTTTATCGGCGCCTGCCTTTTCTTGTTTTCTTCCATAACCGTTTCATTTGCCGCATTGCGGTTATTTTGCTGTTTCGCCTTCGCCTTTGTTCGTCCGCTTCGGTCGTTCATTCGTTCGGCTCGCCGTATTTGTGTGCGTGTATACATGAGTGCTTGCGTGTGAGTGAGTGTACGGGTGTGTGTGTTGGCGGCTGCCTGTTCCACTTTGCCTTTTCGCACAAGAATTTTATTGTAACGGCACAGGCGAATGGTGGGGGAGGAGGAGCGCTGCAAATGAAGAAAAATTCCTGCTAGACGCCGCTTAACCACATAATCCAATTTTCTTGTCGCCCTCTTTGAGCTTTCTTCTCTCTTTCGTTTGCTTTCCCTGCGTTTTTTTTTTTTTGATAAGAAAGCCCCACGCCCACTACGCTGCCCCTCTGCCGCCCACCCGTGCTTTCAGCCTCATCTGGTGTCGCCTAATTTAATTAGCGATTTTACAGCTCACGCAAAATGCAAACAGCTTTTAATTAAAATATATCGCTACGCTTTCTATGTGAGCAATTTGTTTCAGTGATTCAACGCTGCTAACTTGGCCCAGAAGCAAACATTTGCCAAGGGTTTTACTGACTGATCTTCAAAGTTTGTTGATCTTTAGCTCGGCTAATTATGAGATACGTTTGCCTATATATCTGATTTGTTTCCGTTGAATATTAGCCAACATTCATATGAATTTCCATGAGTCATTGTATTCCTGGGCTGACTTCATCATATGATCATATGGCCTATGATGAATGCCCGATGATGTGAGTGGCATGTTAATAATGGCAAATGACTGGCTTATGGCTCAGGTAGCACATTTGTTTGGAATCTGGTGCGGAAGCACTTAAATTGTCCCCAAAATCAAGCTCAACCTAACCGTCATTCATAAAACCGAACTAAACTCCATGAAACCGAACTAAACTCCATGAAACCGGTTGGGACCGGCAAAAAAGCGTCGGCTATACAACGGTAAACCCGGCAAACTTGGTTTCAACATAAAGCCGCATAATTTCAGCTAAGACCTGTTTTAATGTTGTATTTTGCTGCCAAACTTCTTTCGGGGAAATTGTATTATTCAGCAGAACATGTTTGTGAGAAACATCACAACTCTAACATCTGTCATCGTTTGAATTTATAAGTGATTCAAGTCCAACTGTTAAAATTATATTTATCAAAACGTATTTATAAATATATATACATATATGAATCATAATTTAAAAAAAAAACAAACTATCTTATTATGTGCAAGTGAGAAGTTGAAAGATGTGGGTTGATCTTGAAGTCAGTACCATACAATGACCCATCCAATGAGTCACTATCTCAAAAATTATGCAAAATTCCAGCGCAGCTTGAGTCCTGTGATCGAAGGCATACTTTCGGTAGGCACTGTGTTTGCCTTGGATATGGAAGCTTCCTCGGGACGCCGTGGGCGTCCGATTGTGCATACAAATGGATTACCAATTAGGCATTAGCCCCCTACTCGATTAACGACCCCGCCCGATTGACTGCCATTAATGGATATCATCGGTGGGTGGGGCTGGCTGATGTTTTTGATTGCAAATTTCGCCTTTTAAAGAGAGGGCTCCAATCTGCTTTTCAGCGGGTGTTTCTCTTTCGGTTTCTGTTACTGTTTCTGGCTTAGTCACGGCTGCCAATGACATAACCCAGTTGAAAAGCATTTTATCTGGCCAGAGTACGCCCAGATAAGCTGGGCAAATTCAATTGAACGCCAACGCGACAAAAAGTGCAAATAAAACAGGTGCCAGCAATGTGCTCGTACTTGCTGTTTAAACTTACCGAAATTACCATTACCCCGATTAGATAAGGTCAAGCAGGGCGCTATAATTCCAATGCCAATTGCTGATTTGGCTTAAAGCAAGTGGGTGGGTTTTCTTTTCTCCCCATTTCCCCAGTGGGGAACGGAAATGGTCCATAAAGGCTGGTCAACACAACATGTCTAAGAGCCATGTTGGTGTGCGCCATTTTTCAGAAAACCCAATTTGGCCTTCAAGTGGAGGTTCCAAATTTGGTGGTACCAAGGCGATTAGATAAGGCGAATTGGTTCGTGCTAGGGAAATTCACATAAACTAACTTGGTTTTCAGCAGTACAGAATAATAACTATAGACTAGATTGGTAGGAGCTATTATTAAACGAAGCAAATTAAGTTGTAATTACATAGGATCGCTCAACAAACAATTGTACGATATAGTATACTATTTCTATATAGCGCAGCTTTCCGCAGTTATCAGCTAGAATAAATATATGGCATAAGTCATCCCATGACGCAGGCGAAGTTTGCTTTAGCATTTTTGCTTCGTGATTAATAACAATTATCGCAAGTCAAACCAGGCCTTATATTATACTCGTTAAATTCTTTTGCTTATCGACGGAGCGCGAGTTGCACAAATAAACATTCATTTGGCCGTAAAACAATAACAGTAAGAGGCAGACGGGAATTTCATACGCCCGGTTTTTGGTTTTGGTGCTGCAACATTAGACCCCGAGAATCGTTTTTGGCCAGAATAACCGGCTCCCGAAGCTGACAACTCGCACGTCTCTTGTCACAAATACATCACTCGCATGACAATAATAAATTTTTGGTTTTGGGTAACGTCTCCATCTCCACTTCGCCTTTCTTCAGAGCTTTCCTGGCCTTCTTGATTATTCAGCCCCGCTGACGTCAGATTTTGTTGATTCAGCGGAAACTTAACACCTTTTTCAAGATACCAGATATGTATTGCAAAACTTACCTAGATACAGATACAATTGTATCTGGACTTGCCTGGCGGCGAGCAAACAATACGCAAAATTATTCAAATTAAACACAATTGTTCTGTTTCTCCCTTCTCTTCTTTTGTTATTCCTGATTGTATTCTTTGGGTGGGTAGTTTTCCGTGTTGACATTGAAATGCCATCGAGATGTCATTGAAAAGTATTTCATAAACCAACCAGGTCGACCAGCAGTCAATATCTAGCTATATTTATTTTGTAAATAATATAACGTCGAAAGTTACACAACGATTGCCATAATGGTGTGTGTCTGGTCCTTTCGCTGCGATTCATTCAATTAATGTGCGATTCATTTGTGTTTTCCAGGCCGATCAGCTGACAGAGGAACAGATCGCCGAGTTCAAAGAGGCATTCTCGCTATTCGACAAAGACGGCGATGGCACCATCACAACAAAGGAGTTGGGCACAGTCATGCGCTCCCTGGGCCAGAATCCCACAGAGGCCGAGCTGCAGGACATGATCAACGAGGTTGATGCCGACGGTAAGATATGGAAGATTACGGAAAAAATCCATAATGGGGAGCATTAGTGATCGAACTCTTTTTGGGGTGATGTAATAAATATCAGGTCAGATGATCATGCCATACGTGCATTTCGAACTTAAGATTTCGCGGAAGAGACTGCAAAATGCTTACACATTTGCAAATTCTAACATATTCTATTCAGTAAACGTAAAAGGTCTGCTTTTGTCTGCCTCGTAACTTGAATATTTCAAACAAATCTATGACCTACAACATCTAGACGATAAAGTCAGACTTTAGGGCGTACGACTCTGGGCCAATGAGCTGATTTGCTATGGATTTAGTCGGCAATCTCAGTGCCCGCGATAAAAAAGCTGGCGAGAATGCCTTCTAACCCGATCTCGAGGTGTCTAATTTTGTTTACCCAAATCATTTGGTGTTCTGGGCCTAATCCCTCTCACTCGTTCCATTCTCCACCTTTCGCAGACAGACATAGATCAGCCCAACATTTGTACGACAAACAATGGGTGGAAAAAAAAAAGGAAAATCACTTCTTGGCTAAAAATATGCAACAAAAACACGTCATAGGCATTAAAAATAGATGCCGAAAATATTTTGGCTCTTTCCCGTGTCTTGTCTTTGGCAGTCGCTGCTGTCAGATTTTCTTCCTTTTTTTTTGTTTTTCGTTGGTATTTAATTTTTTTTTATGTTTATTTTTGAGTAAAGGTGGTTGTTCGCTTAGCTCGAAATCTCGAACAAGTTTTAGTTTAACAAACTTTTTCGGGAAACGAGGAAGATCCAATTTTATTTTCGTTGCAAGAGGAAATCGAGCGACACACGGCTCGCGCCAAAAATGTGGCTAAATTGAAAATGTGTCGCCCATTTTAATGGTAAGAGGTTTTTCACCTTTTGGTGGTAAACTATAGGTTGCCACAATTTAATAGATTTTCAAATTATGTAGGTACTTTTCCTGTTGCTTCTATTAAGGCGCCTCTTTTTCGATGGGTGAAAGACAACTAAATTGGGAAAACTTAGCAACTAAATCATTAGAACTCAGTGGCACAAAGTAACTTGTATGCACACTTGCTCTTTCATAAGTTTTGCAACTGTCCCCGCCCAAATTGTATTTGTTTTCGTTGCTGCTCCATTTTCTTTGCCAGCTTTCCTCGGCTGCTTTTTGTTGCTGCTGTTGCGCTTGCACGTGGAAATTCTGTGCGCATGTTGTCGAAAATATCCAGGACACAATCTGCAAAGTCGTCCTGCACAGCATTTCGAGCGCAGGCGCCCTGAAAACTCTCGCATGATTATCCTTTTTTTTATGCTGGGACTAAAGTGTTGCAATCACGGAGAAGTGGGGGTTTTGGCCAAACGAGTGGAGGCTGTGGATGCGCATACTAACTGTTTATCAGGGCTAAAAATAGCAATTTGGTATGTGGCAAGGGGTCGCCACTTGGGGGAGTCCAGCACTTTTCGCCAACTTTATCTGCTGGAATTTGCATATGTGCCAAACTTTTACATTGAGTGGAAGCAAAATGTTTTGGCAACTTTATTTTGCAACGTTTAGTATTCAAAATTACTTGCAAAAATGTTCCAACTCGAAAGTGGCTTCCACTCCCTGCTGACTTCTCTAATTTACGATCCCCCACAATGAAATGTATTCTCTGGCCAACAGCTAGCTTGGCCATCCGAATCACCCACACATGGCCCACTCACGTTGGTCGCAACAGGCAGGAATCTGACGGAAACATTAAACATTCATTACTTAAAATTTCGTTGGCGTCTCGTCGCAGCCAGTTGACGATGGCCAAACTGCCAGCGTTTCTCGGTCTCTGAACTGCATGCAAACGACTGCAATTAGTTGGCGGGGATGGGTGGGGAGAAGGGTATTGTCCAGCGGAACAAACTCGAAATACTATATATAAATAATTATTTTATGGCCATCGTAGGTTTTCTATTAGGTTGCGCTTGCAAGAAGGTGGAAGGGTGGGCTTTTAGCAGCGTCTTTTTTTTCTGGTTTGCCTGCTATAAATTCGATCTGAACTTTTATGTTCACTATATTCTTAATGAGACCAATGGAAAATGCGCGCAGACTAAATTTAGCGATGCCACTGCGCGCCAACCAAAAAAGACAAAACTTATTACAATTTTAAATTGTCTGCAAAATTTTGCGCTCAACGTTGCGCATCGGAAAGTGGAAATTGGGGAAACGGGAGGAGTGATGATGAGCAGGAGGGGATTGGCGGAACGGCGTAATGGAAACCGAAATCCGCGCCAGACACTGGCCATCATCATCATCGCCATTGGCAGCGCGATGAGCATCATAATTATGATAATTGGGCTGCGCGCGGGTTCGTCAAAGGCGTGGCGTTCGGGCCAGTCTAAGAAGCGTCTAACAAAAATGGCAACAAATTTCCCAGTGCCCAGTCTGTCCCCCGTTTCTGTGAGTGTGTCTGTGCGAAGGCTTTCCTTGGTATTTGTTTTCTGATTTTCTTTTTTTTGGCTGGGGAAATCCTATCGACAAAGCCAAAAGCAACAGAAAATCGCGTCAAATGTTTTAAATAGAATCATAAACAGAAACGCAGGCAAGACAACAAGCAACAAAATATAAAAAAAAAAATAAAAAAGGGGAAAAAAACCCAATCCGAAATCGAAATGAACTAAAGCCACCCGTCGATATTTTATTTGATGTGGTTTGGCTATTTTCAAAACATATATTTTTGGTTCTCAATGCGGGCGTATTGAATAATTATGATACTTAAATTAGCCCAAAGTGTAATGTTTATTCTTTTGGCAAATTTTCGAATTGAATGCACATTATTTTGAAATGGAATTGCCTACAGATTTTTTCCATTCATTTTAATTCGAGTGCTAGAAAAATATTTATTTTAAATCAATTAATTCGCAGAATTACTGTTTACATTTTTTATAAACCAAATACTTGAAGGCAGCCTATCGCAGAAGCAAACTATTTATTTTTGTTCCCATTATGTTTTACGAGCTATCCGAGTACCTACAAAAGTTCATTCCATTTTATTTGACTCATCTCTTTGTCAGTAAATCTAGATTACCCTTAGGAGATCATTGGCTATTGAAGTTCAAAAGGGCTGGAACCTCTGCCTTTTAGCCATCATATACTGCAAGTTTCCTCTGGAGAAAACCCATTTCCAGCAAAGTAATAAAAAACACATTCAATTCGCAAGAAACAAAATGATGGCCACAATGAACCATGCTCCATTTGGTTTTGAGGGTAGCAAACAGAAAACTGAAAAACATTTTATACTGTTCCATTTTATGGACAAAAGACTCTTCTTTCAACCCGGACTGCTGGCTGGGGATGGCTTAAAAAAGTCAGTCAATAACAATTAAGGCCAAAAGTTGTTGCTGCCTTTATGTGCGGCACCCCCTCCATCAAAAAAAAAAACCAAAAACTATTCTCATCTTAAAACCAAGTCAAGTCGAAAGGAAACTTTTTCAATTAGTATAACAAGAATTTCGGTTGGACCACTTCATTTGCGTTTCACTTATGGGATAACCTCAAGAAAATGTATTTGGCCAAATTCTTTTACAAGTTTTCATTCCACTTGGCTGCACCACATTACCAACTGCGCCACCCGACGAAGGAGCCAGATAGGAGATGTAGGAAATAAGAGAGTGTTTCAACAGAAATGGGATTAGGCGGACTTATCTCTCGCACTCCGCAAGGTGGGTGGCCCACACACGTGTGGGTGTGGATCTGGGTATGGTGGTTGCCTCCCCTCGTAGGAAAGTTTGTTTGGGGCTTAGGCAAATATGAAAATATGCTCGATTATATACGAACCACCTCCCAGGGATTTGGCGTCGAAAAGGCAACGCGATGGAAAAGCTTTAAGTAGTGTACACAGCCCCCGGGTGGCTGATATACGTTTTGTATGGCGTTGGGAATGGTGAGCAAACTTGGCCCGTAATGAAGAAAAATGCCGGCTGCCTTTTTATCCCTGACTTGAATTTATTATAACGCCCCACGGGGAAATTTAAATTGATGGTGGGGGAGGGGGAGTGGGATGGGTTGAATCCCCGAAATCCAACCGACCCACAAAGTATGCAACGAAATTAATTGTTATTCTTTATGGTTTCCTGCGCACAGGCAACGGCACAATTGACTTCCCTGAATTCCTTACAATGATGGCACGCAAAATGAAGGACACCGATAGCGAAGAGGAGATCCGGGAAGCCTTCAGAGTGTTCGACAAGGATGGCAACGGCTTCATCTCGGCGGCCGAGTTGCGTCACGTGATGACAAATCTGGGCGAGAAACTCACAGACGAGGAGGTCGATGAGATGATCCGGGAGGCTGATATCGATGGCGATGGTCAGGTCAATTACGAAGGTAAGTGATCCATGCTAAACTATCCTACTAACAGAATTACTCTAGTATCAAACTCTATATTCAAATATCACAAAGATAACTTGGAAATTCTGTGTAGACAGTTTTCTTTGAAATGTTTGCTAGACTGGAATGATGAAATAAGGTATTATGAGGTTTTCCTTGAAGACGTTACCTAAGAAAATGATGAATGCGGCAATTTCCGATAATCTGCATCGACCAATTCCTTTTGTGAGGTGTCGTTTTCCGCAATTTGCAATTTTCGCTGTAGTATCGCGATAGTTTGGTGCTTTTGTGGGTCGCGTGTTTGTGCCTAATTGGATCTGTCTGCTGCACCTGGCGAGCAACTAAAACAAAAAACGCAATAACGATTGAATCACAGGCATCGCATTTGAGTCACAATTGGCACTTGGTTGTGTCATATGGCTTGGCTAATTAACCAGATCTCTCTGCGTATAGTAATACTTATTTTCAGTGCTAGCCATGTATATGACACATATATACTCGTATATATATATGTAGACAGTTAAAACAAATATCTCGCCATGTGCAGTGCAGTTTTATAGGAAAATTTCGTGTTTTGTGTTCTTGGTAATTTTTTAATGGCTCGAAAATTGATTTTTCAATTGAGCAAACAGCGCCAGCAGTGAGAGAAACAATCGCCATCAAATTGAAAAGCCAAAACAATAAAATGGAAAATGGAACGCATCTGAGAATGCGAAAAAGCCTCACAAGTTTTCAGCAGATTTACTATGGCATATCCTCCCACTTCCTTGGTTTCCCTTTGTTGTGCACACACATAGCGACCGGGAAAAGTAGCAATTAAAATCGGACAGTATTTACCCCTATATCTATTCCTATATCTTATATCCCACGTTTATATGTTGATCTTCAAGTTCAAATAGAAATCGTTTTTGGCTGCTGCCGTGGCAATTCTCGTATCAAATAGATTAATCACAAGTAATTTATGTATGAACAAAATACATAAAAATAGCGAAAAGTTTAAACAAAGCAAGCCGAAGAATGATGATCTACATTTATAATCAATTTCACTACGTTTCTTAGGTACAATTTCTAGAAAAGCAAACATAGATAGAGGACAAGCGAAGTAGGATTAGTGGGTACTAAGGAAGTGCTGAGTGTAAGAATGTGCTTCAAACTGTCAGATAAATGGTATTTTATGGTTATGAGGCACTGGAACCCTCAAGTAGTTGCAAAATCAGGCGATAATGAAAATTGTCAAGTGGTTTCTTACCAAAATATTGCACTGCACGAAAGAATTCATGATGATTTACGCAGTCCGCTTTTGTAAATCTCTTAATTGGTTGAATATCAACAAAGAAAAGAGCTTTTTAAGGCATTTTCGTGGCATCATTCCACTGCCATATTTCACTTGCCATTTATACTTTTCCTGCGCCTGCTGCTCCCAATCCGGCATTTTTATTTTTTTACGCCTTTCACCACTTTCCTGCCGGCGAAATTGAAATGTTTTTAAAAGCCAAAATAAATGTCGCGCGTAAATTCCACACTTAAATGATTAACCTGCCGGGCAAAAAGCAGCCAGAGTCTGAGAGGCAGAGGCACACAGCCCGCGGCGCACGGCAACAGTGCGGATGGGAAGGAACAATTAAAATAAAATATATAAATATTGTGCAATACTCTTCGTTTCCCCGCACATCTTTGTGGGGCAAAATCTCGGGGTGTTATAATACACAGCAACAAAATGCGATGCGATGCGAGGCGATGGGATGGCATGAACATTGACCGAGCGAATGGAATCTCATTTCGGTTGGCCGTGTTTTTTCGTTCAGTCAGCGGAATCAGCATAACGTAAATATAAAATGCGCATTGTTGCCATATATATACATATATATTTTGCTTATTGCCAATTAACCAAAGTCTTTATTGTTGTCTTGCCGGCAATACAGTGTGCCGGTTATAACCATCCAAACCCCCCGTTCTCCACACTCTTTGGTAATTTTGCAAGTGAGAATTATATGGCGCAAACAATGAATTTGCAGAGAAAGATATTGGGGAATGGGAATGGGAATGGGAATAGGTTGGGAATGAGATGAGACTTACTTTGGCCGAGTGCCAGAAAGAAAAGCGCTGAGCAAAAAGGGAACGAGAGCCAGGAGAACGAGTCGAAAATCAAATAAAATGTTAAACAAAATACAAAGAACAACAAATTAAACATTAGCACACGAAGCGAAGCAAATTTAATGAACACAACCCAAAATGTGTGAGCGAGAGAGGCGGAGATGAATTCCAAAATTAGCAAAAATGAACAAAAAAATATATATTAGTATATGTGGGAAATATACCTTTGCACAGATAGAACAAGTAAGTTTCAGCGAATGTAAACAAAACGACGAAAGATAAACAGCAGAACCACAAACGACGTAATGAGGGGGGCATTGCGGAAAATTTGGGGGCGGGCGGGGGCTGCTGAAACTCTAAAATAAAATCCACGAAAATTTGGCCAAAAATTTTGTTGACCAAGGACAGCTGGAAAAATTGGAACTCGATCGGTATTAATCTCATTTTAATTGGCCTATCTAAAGGTCATCAAGAGACTTCATGCGCAACACTTGCACACTGAAGTAAATCTATTTAAATGCAACAAAATTGGTAAATTGGTAGGTACATCAATTGTTATTCAGGCCTCTTATTCTTCTCAGTGCACACACTGGTCATCTGGTAGGCGTGGCAGAAGTGGGAGCAGTGCTATTTGAGGACGAAGATTTAATCAAAGGAGTGACCTACCGAGCATTTGCATGTGGGGAAATGTCAAGGCTGCCCAAAGGAGTTTCTTGTTTTACATATGGCTTCGCCCTTTTTTCCGGGCGTTGCCTGAACTCGAGCTAATAACGTTTTATTTTGAAGCCTTTTACGGCCTCGAAAGGGTTTAGTTTTATTATCAAAGGTGTGTGGAGTGTCTGGCAACTTGAGTGCCGTCCGTCGCTAGCTGGAAAAATAACTATAAATGTTGCGTTTGATTTCCCAAAAGCTTGATGGCAATCGATAGCTAAATCTATGGGCAGACCGTTTCGCCTTTAGATTATAGAGTAAGCAAGAAAAACGATAAGATTGTTTAAGTGCGGCAGTCAAATCTAGATTTTTGTGGAACTTTGCCTACAAATAAATAAATAATTTGGTTTAAATGAGACCATTCGTTATTCGTATATTCCCAAGAATCTAGGGGTTGGTAGACATCTTTTTTTTTTGCATTCCCATCGACAATTGCAAATTCTTGACCATTGCTTCCTACGAAATCCACCCAATTACACGCCCACCCAATTGGCCCCCCTCTTGTTGTCGTGTTTAAATATTTATAAAAAGGCAATCACCCTAGCCAACTGAAAACAGGGAGATGATGCGATGCAATCAGCGAGAACAGATGCACTGCACCCTGGTCCGAGAATTGGTTTCTCCGTTTAAAAATAGAAACAGGCAAACACCTGATAAATGGGGACACACAACCGCAGGCGGAAGGATCACCACTTTCTGATTTCCTGTATCTATGGCATAATACTCCTCCTTGATCCTGCCTCATTGATTCCGGGATATGAGGAGTTACTTTAATAGTTGTAGAATATACAGAGATACTGTGATGACGCTAAAATATTGTAATGACGCTAAAATATTGCAATGATGTTTCGATTGCCTGTACAAAATTGGCTTGTATGATTTACCCATATAGACAGGCAGCATTCATGGAAGCTGGGTATATCCTAGTCTGGACTTTCGGGCATAGCTTGCCCGTTATCGCACCCATTAGCTCGCGAACAATGCATCGTCTTGGTTGCACTTGGCCTGCGTCGCCGCCAACGTGGCAAGCATCCACTGTTTTCTATTTTTGGCCGAGGAACCGAACAGAGTACATAATCTCTGGCGATTGACTGTCTGAGACTTTGCACTCAATAAATTTTCCTTGCCTGCATGGCTCTATTTTTCACACACGGCTCTGTGTGTGTTGTTTTCATCAGACGTCTCGTGACTTGCTCGTTTATCTTATTGATTAGCTGGCCGCAGTGTAATGCTCGTTTGCTATTGATTAATTGGCGTCTTAATTTAGTAGAAGGTTAATGACAGCGCTCAGCTATTTGCGATACTTGATTTGTCGTGTGAATCTTTTCGTTTTGTGTCAACTCGGTGGTTGGTTATGATGATTTAGATCGATGCTCTGGACGAAGTCCAATTAAAGTTACTAGGCTACCATTTAATTCTTGCGAAATGAAATAAACTTAATACTAATTGTGATTTTCCCTTCTTTCTTTGCAGAATTCGTGACTATGATGACATCGAAGTGAAGCGTTAAATTATTTCTTTTTAAGCCTTTCTATTTTTTTAAGATGTTGACGAAGACTGTAGCTGTGCGCAATAACATCGCGCCACGCTGTTGCTATGGACCCCAGTAAAAGATCTTAAAAAAAAAAAACAACAACAAACAACAAAGAGTTAAGCAAAAAACAACCAACATAAAGGAGAATAAGAAGCAAAAAAACATTTAAGAAACTTTAAAACAAATAAAACTTACACTTAAAAAATGCAAAAGCAAATGAAAATTTAAACAAGCAAAAATGAAACAACCGAATTCAGAGGGAAAGGAGGTTAAACGAGAAAACAACATAATTTTAATGCAAACAAACAACAACAACCAAGCAGCATACTTAATGAAGTCACCGTTTAAAACCACAAACAACTACAACAACAACCAGCAGCAACAACAAACAAGAATCGCATGTTATCGTTTTGAGTAACTAGAACAAGTCTATCACTACACTGAAACAAAATGAGCAGCGAGAAGATGAGCAAGCAGAGGGAGAAGCAAGAAGCAGCAGCAGCATCCACCAGTATTGCCGATAGATGGCGCCCATGGCGCATCAAGGTCAGCGCGCCACCTGGCGACGGCGGCACGCAACGGCTGCATTTTGTTTTTGACAGTTTTCCACTAAAAAGTTAATGAAAACCCGACTCTGTAAGCTAGCAAATTGTGTTTAAAGTATAATGAAAAATTGTCGATTTCGTTGCGAGAAGAATAAAAATAAAAGCTAAACAAACAACAAATAAAAATAAAAATACAAATAAAACAAAAACTGTTAAAGAAAACTATTTGAAATTTTTGCAAACTGGCAAAGTTTATATAGACACGCTACACGAACACACTCTCATACACACACACACACACATACACATAAACAACACTCCCACACACAAACATGTCAGAAAACCAGAAATAAAATATATTATAAATACAACATATATATATTATAAATAATGTAAAATCAAACAACAACAAATTCTTCTTATTAAATTATATTTAAATTTAAAATTAATAAATATAAAAAATAAAACAAATAAAAATTACAAAAAAAAAAACAAGAAACCAACTACAAATACATTTTCGATATAAAATTAAATTAAAAACCAAAAATGTGGCGCGCAGCAGAAGATGAGGCATATTTTTGGGGGCTGTACGAGGACCAGCAGGACCGCAGTCCAAAAGGTCCTTGAAAGGCAGCTTTTTGTCGGCACTATTTGTAGCAAACTTAAGCGACACCACACGGCGATCTGAATATATATATATATACATACCTATATATATATATAAATACGTGTATATGAGCAGATTTAACATTTAACAATGCAAACGCCACAAAAACACAACAGCAACACATTTCTCTAGTACTTAAGAGGCAGCAAAAGCAGTAAACCGAATATTATTACAAATATAAATATGAAGGAACTCTATATATATATATACATATAAATACCTAATGTACTTAATGCAAAAGGAAAACCAAGTCTAAAGTAATATAATTTTATTATAAAGAAATATAAAATTAAATATTTATATGCGAGACGAAGCGGAGGAAGAGCTGGACGAAGCAGCAAGGAGAAGATTTCATCAAACACACACATATATTAAAAGGAAAAGGACGAAGTATGGAGGAGCAGCACCACCATCGCAGTAGGCTCCCGCGAAGGAAGACGACTCTTAACAGCAGGAGACGATGTGCAGAATCGGCGGTTCAGCATCGGAACAGTTATATATATTAACGTATATATATATATATTTATAAATAAATTATACATATGAATTATACTAGCTAAATGCAAAGACAATTGTCTTAAGTGTAAGCAAATCAAGCGTGGATTCAAGAAGATTCAAGAAAACCCAAATGCAAAGTTTAGGCAAAAGCGAGAGAGCTAGCTAAGCGTAACTTAAATAAATATACGAACATAAGTTGAAGTTGTAAGTTAGAGCAGCAACTGCAATTCCTGGCACAACCAACAGCAACCGCAAGCTTTAACCCATCCGCTCTGCCTCCACCAAACTCCAAACACCACCACCCAACTATCTAACTATCTGTCAACTTGTCTATCTGTCTAACATGAAAAACTATCTAATTTCCTCTGTGTCCACTGCTGCCTAGTTCACGTTAACGTTAACCAACTGATAGCGAAATGAAAGTGTGCGCGGCCAATGCTAACTGAACCGCACTAGATACTTGGTTTTAATTTAATTTCATATCGAAAACCCTGTTTCCTTTTCTCAACTGTAACTGTAACGAACGCGTTGATGTCGTGATGTCTTCTAACCAAACTATCCATACCACCATGACACCATACACCCAGTCCCATTCGAACCCACACCTCACGCCATCTCTGATCTTTCCCATGCTAACTCTAACTCTTCTCCACTGCAAAAAAAACAACTGTGAGTATAACTTAACAATGCAGGAACACCAAGGCAACCACTGCGTGTTTTCTACGGCAGAATTCCTTTGTGTTTGCTTGACTTTGGAGGCAATGCTCTGAAGGGCATCGACAAAATTTGAACAAAACACCATTTGCGCTAAAGATAAAAAAAAAAGAAAAATTAACAAAAAAAAAAAAGCAACACTTTTCTATAACTTTTTTTAACAAACAAAACAAAAAGATGAAAACATTTTGTAGCGAAATTTGTGCAATGTTTTAAAGAAATGAAAATTTAACTCTAATCAATTGACACAGACGAATTTTTCTAATCACAAAAAAAAAAAAACAAAAAACAAAACAGTCGAATCTAAATGAATATGTAAACTTTTTGAACGGCCACTTTTCCAGGAATGTAGTCACTCCGAATTTTCCCCGTTTCAAAAATGTCAAATGATGGAGCATTTCCAATTCAAATTGGTTGCTGAAGTGCGTCAGTTGTGGCATTGGAGGCCGGATTCACACAGATTCTCGATTTCCAAATCAAAACTTGCATAAATATTTATCTTCGTTTGCATAGACGGCAGTCAAAGAAATGGAAAGCAAAGTAACAGAAATCAACTTGTTAAAATATGCTAAAAGTGTTTAGCAAATTACAATATTTTGACAGGCAATGAAACCAAACAAAGAACTCGCGCCTCTATCTATATATGCAAACAAATATATATAAATATATATGAATAAAGCTATATAAAAGTTATATTTACGAATATTGTAAAAATTGCAAAAACCGATGAAGAAAAACTATGAGCATCAACAAGCGAAACCAAACAAGAACATACAGAAATTTCTTTGAAAAAATACACAAACATTTTAAAAACCTCGAACAAAAAACCAAAATTGTCGTTTTCTTTTCACGCAAATTTCCTGGATTGGCTTACATTCTCACAGAAAACACCGATCAATCATCCATTTCCCCTGCCAAAATATATCGATCCGATTCGGCCCCCAAGGATATGCTATCCACTGTAATGGATCATGGATCCATGAGCTCCACGAGTCAAGTTGATTTATAGATTAAGTACAGCCAGCGGTTTGCCAAGGAAGCCGATCCAATCCAATCCGATCCGAGAGGTTGGACTGCGGCCAGCCAACGACACCTGGAACTGCAACCGGAACCTCCACGATCCGAGAGATATGCCCCACTGTATGCCGATAAGAATTTAACCAGTTATACATTGAATGTATGCACTTAAACCACCTATTAAGAGATTTCATCGCAATGAAGAAACCCTAGGAATATATGTATAGCGAGTGTGCAAGTTATTCTTGATGTCCAATATACCATATACCATAACCAAGTGTACCTTTAAGCCAGGCAAGTAGAAGGCCAGTTCCTGCACCCATTTTCCTCGATTTGATTCGGAACCGCACTGAATGTCTATGAGAATAACCGATTTTCACGAATACTCGTATTGCTGTAACCACAAATATATTTTAAAATATTTAACGAATATTTCCGTACTTTAAACTATGGATGTTAGTCTTGTCATAGATTAAATGCGTAAAATGCAAGTGTAGGCCTTGAACGAAAACAATTTATTAATGGTACATGCGGATATTAGAATTATTGCGCCTAGAATATAACTCAATGTATACAGCTAAGTGATAGTTAAAGCTGGAACTCTGTTTTTTTTTTTTTGTTTTTTTAACTAATTTATAATGAATTTTTATCGGAAAATAAGTTGTATATATTTTGAAATTGTATTTATTTTATTTGCAGTACACTTTTCCTTAACAGCCGAAAAGTATACATGTGTTTTTATCTATCAGTACACCCATACTCATACACCACACATACACTGAACACAATTTCCGAGTTTTTTGCAAAACAAACTTGTTGTGGCCTGCGAATAGAAGAACAAACATAGCAGCTACAGCGCTCTGAGACATCGATTAAAATTTGAGATATATACCAAAATGTTCTAAGTTTAAGCAAGCAAAATGTTAAACATTATATATCAAAATACGAAATATCCAAAGCTTTACCTACCAAAAGAAGAGAGTGCAACTGTGCGACAGCAGACATAAACCTAATCAAAACCAGTAACTAAATTTCATCCGCAGGACAACAACTGACTCTATAAACGATAAACGTACTGTAATTTCTAAGCTATAAATTGTAATTAATCTAAACGAATATGAATTTCCAAGCGGCAAACTGTAAAACTGATTATACCAACCAACCTTGAGACATGATTAAATAGAACAATCTGGTGGGCAAGGTGACAAGTATTAGGGTATCACCACTACCCAAACCAATCTGCGCAACAAATGCAATATGCAAAATGCAATATGCAAAATGCAGTATGCAAAATGCAATATGCAAAATGCAAAACCAATTCCTTTAACTATAGTACATCTGTGTAATCGGAAGCAAAATCCAGGCAAAAAGGAAACGAATATAAAACCATTTTAATAATTCTATTCTACTTAACAGGAAAAAACTAAATAAAGACAAAAGCAGAATATACAATTGAAATGCTGTGGGTTTTTTATTTTTTGCATAGTAACATATCGGAATTGTGGTAAGTTGTTATTAAGTAGTTTATTGAATTCAAAATCGAAAGAGTTGTGTACATTTCTAAAAAGCTTTAGGGTCCTGCTTCCATTTTACGAGTGTCCTTGCTGTGCTTTAAGCTCTTTGACAGGCTGCTTGCTTTAGAACATATCGAAGTTAAGTACTTAAACATTTATGCATGGTATTTTACATGTATGCCTAATCATCTGTGTACAGGGAACGATATTAAAAGTACTGAGCAGAATAATTTGGCAAACAGTTACATATATTACCGAAAAAGGTTACTGTATCAAGCTTAACTAATATATTGATGCATTCGATCCTTGATTTAAGCAGCATACTGCTTAAAACTAAATTTCCTCACAAATTACAAATACGCCCCATCATCTTTGGTAACGCTCCCCGAGAAATATCGCTCATACGCCCACTAAGCCCTGGTATAAACTTTCAGCGATCTGGCACCACTCGTCGCACATATTTTTGTGAATGAAAAAAGCTAGAGCCAGCGAGCTTTACTCCATCAGGAAGTGGAAAGCTCGCTCAATGCAACCAGCAGCGGTGCGACATTGAAGATGCTCCCGCAGAGAGAAAGTAGAAGTCTGCGGCGGGAGGTGGGTGGTGGGTGGTGGGAGCTGGGTGGGATGGGTGGTTTGTGGGTTTTGGTTTTTGGGTTGGTTGTTTTTCCGAGAGGGCTCTTGTGGGCCGAGCACGAGGTCTGGCATATGCCGCGTAGAATCCAACGATTTTGTTTGTTTTGATTTCGCTGCGCTTCGGCCTTTGGTCGTTGTCGTTGTAGCTGATGTTAGTGCTGCTGCTTGTTCCACTGCCACTGAAACTGCTACTGCTGCTGCTGCTGCTGCTGCTGCTGCTGTGTCGTCGGCACTTTGGCATCGTGTTATTTTTATGCTTGCCCGCACGAGAAGCTGTCGCTTTCCTCCTGCCACTCGCCACATTTTACACTTTTCCGCTCAGTCGACAGCAGGACATCGAGCAGTGCAAGTCGCGTGGTCGCGCTTTTCCGATAACTCGGCTGTGGTTGTTGCTCGTGTGACTCTGACTGCTGCTGCTGCTGCTGCTGCCGCTGCCGCTGCAGTGGCACGTGAAGTTACTGTGCGGACCTGCTAAAGTTTCGATTCGTTGTCGTCGTCGCCTGCGTGTCCTTGCCGCATCCTTAGCCTTGCTCACGGTCGCCCGCCCGAGAGCCAATTGAATGCACCAGCCGTGTGCGTGGAAGGGGAATAGAAGCCAACATAACCCCGAGACATTTGCAATCCGTGCATTTGCATTAGCATTAGCATAAAGGGCCTGGGTATTGACGCACAATCGCCGGATAACGAGAGATGCCATAAGACCCGGCCAACCAGTGAAACCAGCAACCCAGCAACCAAGCAATCAAGGCTGCAGGTGCGTCAGTGCCAGCAGCAGCGGAAGTGCCAGTTCCTGCCAGACGACAAAAAGAGAAAATGCATTTAGTTGGCCAGTAGAGTGAAGCGCAGCAGAGATGAGCGAACGGGGCAGCGGGGGAGCGGTGACGGGGGGGCGGCATGCACGCGTCAGTCCAACGCCAGGACGTGGCAGC